TGTGATTGGGAACATACACGTTCTTTTCAACCCAAATCGAGGAGACATTAAGCTCGGGCAGGTATCGACTACTGTAATCATTGAATGTTTGTAGTTTTTGTTGCATGGTTAATAATTTTATGTGATTTGCGCCAACTATGTTTCGGTCTGAATCTTCTTGCATATCAGCTTAGCATTAGTTGCAATCTCCTGGCTATTTCCCTCTCTCTTTTCTTTTCTTTTTTCCTTTTTCCTTTTTCTTTTTTCCGGTATGGTTAGGTAGTTAGAAAATATTTTTTATCATCTATTTGAATTGTCCTTTAAGAAAAAAATGTTAGGCATTTCAGTGCACTAATTTTATTACATAATGCTCGTATAGGTCAGACTGTTTCTTGAAAAAGCTCATAGCCTCTCACAAAGATGGGGAAACATACCTGTTATTATGGCCGGGGATCTGAATAGCATACCAAGGGTAATTCTCTTTCACTGGAGAGGATTCTTCTACCACAACAACAAACATATTCACCCGACTATACTTGGTAGCAATTTCAACCATTTTAGCCATTGATCTTGTCTTGTGTCTTTCATTTTTTCAATGATCAGAGTGCAATATATCAGTTTTTGGCTTCATCAGAGGTCAGTTCACTTTTACTTTGTAATTTTTTATGATCTATTGTCTTTTTTTGGATGGTTGAACATGATTTTCTTGAATTCCTCTTTGGTGTGTTTCCATGGTTGGAATTTCATTTCAAGTTCTTTTGGTGGTTGAGCAGCTGGATATACAACTGCATGACCGCAGAAAGATTTCAGGGCAGCTTGATTTTTCATCATCACGTGGAGCCTTCAGATTTTGTAGTGAGGGTACAAAATGGTATGACTAAACTTCAATACAATATGTTCCTTCTTGTTCTTGTTCTTTTTTTATTTTTTAATTATTTGAAATCTAATTTCTCAATCAATTATAGCTGATACTTCTATCTACTGTAAGTATGCTACTGAGCGTTGCATGTTTTAAGTACTACACAACGCCCATACTGTTAGGAGCAGAACAGCATGCATGGTATTGACATCATAAATTATGTTTTACTCTTAATTGTAGAGGATAGATGAAGTGTTTAAAAAAGGTAGACCATGTTGCAGATATGAGTAGAGATTAATTTGTAGCTTTCCATTTATGTATTATTTCATTTGTTTGCTAGGTCCAATGTTTTAGCCTCAAGGTCCTTCAGATGGAGTGGTGAGGAAATAAGGATCGCATCTGGTATGGAGAACGTTACCTGTCTTCAGCACCATTTGAAGCTTTCCAGTGCATACTATGGGGTTCCTGTAAGATGTTTAATCTTCTTAATTTCTCATTATTTATCTAGTATAGCTCGGTGCATAAGGTACAAGTCAAAATGGAGAATGAGGTGATTGACTAGCATTGTGTTTGAATGAGTGTTATTGACTTGTACGTTTTAAAAGCAATTCACCAATGTAAACATGGAATGTAGTAACTTAAGAAGGAAGTTTAGACTTTTCAAAGAAAGAGTTAATGCCATTGATCAGAGATGAATCCAAATTAAATATTAAAAAAAGAATCACCCCAAAGAAATTTGAAAGAAGTTATACAAACGAAACTGCACTGCCATGGAGGTAACAAATTCTTTGGAAATTTGTTTCAGTTACTGTAAATGGTAGGGTACGGAGACTGCTTTATGTGTGAAAGGAACTTATGAGGAATAAGTAAAGGCTGAAAAGTCAAAAGTATAAAGATGGGTTAAATAAGTGGACGGTTACTTCTGTCAAGCTTTGTAATAAAGTAAGATGCTTTGGCTGCAAAGAAATCTAATATTTTGAAGTGTGAAATAAAAATAATCTAACTTTAGGTTTTTTATATGAAAACAGAGGGCGGCGCTGTTTTTAATATTTATTTTAAGTTTTTCCCTTTTGTCACAAAAATGTATACGTAGTATCATATGATTTATATGTAACAATAAAAGGTACTATTTAAGATTTGTTTTTGTGCTTTCAACTCATGATATTAACTTTATATCGTTTTTGAAATAGAGGGCAGAGCTATTTGCTGCTATTTAGTTTCGTTTGCTTTCTCTCATCCAAGTCGGTTAAATTTTTCAGGGAAGTTGTAAAACAAGAGATGCTAATGGAGAACCTTTAGTAACTTCATTCCACTCCAACTTTATGGGAACTGTCGATTATATATGGTATCAGATTTTACTGTTGAAAGCAATTTTTGTCATGCTTTGGCCTTAAGAACTTTAGTTACTTGCTTTGATTATTATTGCAGGCACTCAGAAAAACTTGCCCCTGTTAGGGTTCTGGAAACATTGCCTATTGATGCATTAAAAAGGACTGGAGGACTTCCTAATGAGGTATTAATGAAATATAACCAGCAATTGTATAAAACCTTTGAGATACTTATGAATAATTGTATTACCATTATTAGAGTTTTCAAATTTCTACCTATTTTTCTCATCTTTTTCTCCAATTTTTATAAAACCTTTGAGAGATCAACGAGTTAACCAATACTTTTATAGGACCACGGCCGAGATGTAAGACAACTTGTTACATTGTAGAGCTGGGTGTGGGTAGAATCTTAGATTAGGAGATTAATTGGGTCAGGCTTTTACTCAAATCATTGATACTCTCCTGATAGGGAAGATTTCATTAGACAGGCTCTTTATTGTTCTGTCTATTCTTCAGAATAGTTCTGGCTTTTGGCTATTGGCTATTTTCGCTTCAAAATTTCCTTGTACTGTGACTTAAGAGTCATAAAATCATCCATCCCTAAGAATCTGATGGAGAGAATTTGGAGGCAAAACCCCAAAAAGAATTAAGGACTTCCTTTGGTCTTATCCCCTCAAATACATCAAATCTGTTGATAGACACGACCAAGAACAGGAATCCTCATTGTTTAATACAAAATCTCCTTTCCTTTTTTAAAAAATAGGATCATTCATCTTATCATTTTTGTTTTTTTTTTGTTTTCTCTATCAAAGTTTATGTTATGTTATGTTATCAATGCAGAAATGGGGCAGTGATCATCTTGCTCTTGTGTGCGAACTGGCTTTTGATGACGAAGACAATGTGACTTGACTAATTAGCCGCACCAGCTTGAAGCATCTCCTTAATTTTGGTCGAATGGAGGTTGTTTCTTCTCCCTTTCCTTTTTGTATTTTTTGACTAATTACTTGTATTATTCTGGGGAAATAGCATATCAATCCTTTAAGAAACTGCGTCGAACCTTCCAAGTAAAGTCATAGGTACAGATTAGTTATTGAAAAATTGTCCTGTAACTCCTTGGATTTGTTATGTTGAAAGGAACTTGGTTTTAACTATTGATAACATCCATCCATTTAGCCTTTTTACTGTGTTAAAAGTCAATGATATATTTAAAATTTTTAAAATTAACAAAAAAAAATTAAATTAAATTTTATGTATAATAGATTTTTTTGTTTTTTTTTTTTTGGAACCCATAAATAAAATAGTATAATACAATGTGCTCCCAAATATAACACATTTGGTCTTCATATTTTATTTTCCAAAACAATAGAAAAAGCTGACTCACTGTCCCAAGTCAGCCTAATTTGTCTGTTTCTGAACATGGAAAAATTATTAACCCCCACCTTTTATTTCTAACTAAATAAATTATATATTATCATCTTGAACCGGATTCTTTGTCATGTAAATAATTATATTAAAAAGCTATAAACTATAATAAAATATATAAATTAAAAAAAAAAAAAAAAAAAAAAGTTACGGAAGTTTTATTTTCACACTTTATCCGTGATAGGGTCTGACACCTCCTTTTCTGCCAATGACGTCAGATACTTGCATCCCTATGACGTCACTATATGCGAAGTCCCTAAATCCAACGGCCTAAGATCATCGATTCAAATTATTCATCCAATTTAGGGTTTGTTTCATTTAAACTTTAAATAATAATAATAGTAATCTTACCACTACCTTTCAAATGTATATTTATCATTTAAATTAAATATTAAAATTGACTTAATAAGTATAGAGAAAATTAAGATCTTAAACATTATTTATCACGTTAATATACATTTTTTAATTAATAAATATTTGAAATGCTTAGAAAAAAAAGTCAACTTTCAGTCGGAGACCAGGTTTTTTTTTTTTTGCATGCACTAACACGCTTTACCAAAAAGCACCGCTCTTCGGGTTTCAAAATTTTCTCCAAGAATCATTTCCCCTTTTTTATTTTCCTCTTTTTTATTTTATTTTATTTTATTTATTTATTTATTTGCTCGTAACTCTTTATATTCGACATTAAAATACCACCTCCCTCCCCCCTTCCTCCAAACACGAATTCATTCTTCTTTTCTTCTTCCGACGAGGAAAAATTTCAAAATGGTAAGGGAAAAGAGAAAGTGCCAGTCGGAGAACGACGGAAAATTCTGTGAAAAGAAAACCAAGAATGATGAGACGACGGCGGTGGTGGCGGCGGCGGCGGAGAAGGAGCCGACCGACGAGGAGGTGGAGGAGTTCTATTCGATACTGCGGCGGATGAAGCGAGCGGCGGAATATTTTGGAGTGGAAAAGGGGATGTTGACGAAGAGTTTAAGGGAGGTGGCTGTTGCGGCGGCGGATCGGGAAGAGAAGGAGGAGGAAAAGAAGGGAGTGAAGAGAGCAGAGGCGGAGACCGATGTGGCGCGGATGAAACAGGGTGGGAAGGGGAAGGAAGTGGTGGCGGAAAATGGGTTGCGGTTGGATTTGAATATAGCGGTGGCGGTTGAGAGCGAGGGCCGGTGATCGAGATTTTCTGACAAGATCGGAACGATCGGCGGTGATCGAGATCTCATAAATAGACAACGCTTTCAAGTTTAATTCAATTTTCGCTTTAATTCGTTTCCTAGGATTGTAAAAATATTNCCAATATTATAATAATATATATATATATATATACATACATATACACCTTACGATGACTTCACATAACGATAAGAAACCCGATCCACCACCACCGCCGTCGTCTCATCATTCTTCGAAAACTATTTGAATCATGATCTAACTTATAGTTCAAAAGATTCAATTGATTCAAGAAATTGGTCGAATCATGATCTGCTTGCAGATCATAAGATTAATTGACTCAAGAAATCGTTTGAACTATGATCAACTTACGGATGAGAAGATTAAATCTCCACAGTAAAATTGAAAACACATGATTTGAAATATGATTGATGTTATTTATTTTTCTTTTTAAGAGAAAAAGTAATAGCGTGATTGAAATAAAATTAAGTTAAATGAAATTATTTATTTAGTAAATTTAGATGGAGAAATTTAGAGAGAATGGAAAGATGGGCTTAGAACACAATGGGCCCAAATTTATTTTTATGTCTGATGTGACATCTAATTTTACTTATAAAATTATTGATTTTCAAAACTCACCCAAAATAAAAATGCAACCTAAATCAATATTCCTACACTAAAAATGTAATTTTTGTTATTTAAATTACTTTAATTTCACTTTATATCAAATCTTCCACGAGAATAATTACAACCTGCTTCGATGTCGGTTCTTAAACCTATGAATTAGTTTCAATGTTCGTTTCGGTCTCAAATTTACTTTTTTACCCTTTACCTTTATAACTTTATATATATATGTATATGGTTTTTGCCGTCCATGCTATAGTGGTTGGGGTTAAGACTAGGAGGACACAATAGGCATTTACAAGAAAAGTAAAATGCTTTTGGCCTTTCAAAACAAACATGCCATGATTCTCATTTTGTGGTTCGTGTCAAATCGCCAATTTTTTATATATCATTTTTTAACCCACGAAAACGTGAAAGATTCGAATATACGACGTTTTTAAGTTCGAAACTTATAAGAATTCGATACCTTAAAAATGTTAAATGACATAAATAAAAATATTATTTAAAATTGAAATCCAACTCGATAGTGGACAGTGGGCCTCAGTGTTATTATTTCCTATTCGAAACATATTATTGGTGTAAATAGGTCAACTAAAATATCATAAATTAATTAAAATGGCCATCACCTCAAAATGAAAGAGACAGTCTCATCATTCTTAGTCTGTGAAGATAGATACATTGTTAGATACTCCGTTTTATTTTTTCAATAAGGCCGAATCTAAATTGGTGCTCGAGAGATTGTTGTTCGTATATTGGTAAGGAATTTACAAATTCTCGAGAAGAGAGGAACGAAGGTGAGAATCTCACGAATAAATAGAAAATTTGTTATATATATATATGTGGTGGAAACAAATTTGAAAGAAATGAAGGAAAATTAAAATATATTTAGAATTATAAAGGAAGGTGAGAAAATAATAATAGGGTACCGGCAACCGAAAAGCTGGGTGGGAAGTGGATCATAAAATAATTGGTTACCGTCTAAATTATTACGTCACAACACAACCATAATATTCAAAATTAATTATTTTGAAAATGAAAAAGAAAAGTTGTGGTACAGTATTTGTAGCATGTAACCGGCGGTAGAGAATTGGAAGGGCCCCACGCGAATCGAGAAGATCAAGTGGACGAGAGTGTAATGGACCCCACCACATACCTTACTGGGTCCCACCCATGTGATGTTTGCTATGCCTTAATGTTTCTGTGGGCCCATCCTTCCCCTATACTGTGTCGTTTCCTTCTGTTTATTGTACTATTTTTAAAATACTTAAAGAAAAATAATACCGAAAATATATTTAAAATTTTAATAGTATTTTAAATGTATCCAAATTTTTAAAAGTTTTATCATTATCTTTGTTTAAATCATAAAATTTTAAAATATTTTGTAAGCAAAAATACAAACAATTAAGTTCAGCTAAGATTGATTTAAAATTTATAAACTAATAAATAAATTTAGTAAATGAAAACTCTTTAGAAAATCATGAGTGGTTGAATTAAATTAAATTTTTTGAAATCAATAGGCTTTTTAAACCTTTCATGAAAATATCTGGAGCTGATGTGGAAATTTTAAGTACTAAAATTGACGATTCACACATCCAATCACTTGGTAAGTGCGTACGTGTCTTCCGCAGACGTGTCCACGACAACAAAAGACCAACGAAGGCGCCTTGCACATGCCACGCGTCTGATACTCTTTTGTGGGATGACGTGGCAAATACGTATGTGTGGGTCCGGTATTGATTCAGAAGTCATGAATTTCATGCCCACCTCATATTTCGGAGCTGACTTTAAATACTCCGTTTAAATTTAATTATAATTATTTGATGATGGTTTATTAATTTTAAATTTATTTATTTTCTTTTAATATCTTTATACTCGATTTAAACGGGGGTTAGTTTTTTTAGTAGAGTTTTTCTACATCAAAAATTAAAATTATTTATTTTTATATAGAATGACGTGGAGCGAGGCGATAAGGATTTGTACGCGCCTAAGTGCGTTTGAAGTATACGAATTCCTCACTATTTAATGCCCGCGACTTCCCTCCATTTCTCCGTCACGAACTCTGCAACTATTGGGATCGCAAGCTCTGTTTTCCTCTCCCATTCCCAAACCAAAGTTCTTTCCCTCTAACTCTCCGCTGCGCCATTCTTCTTCCTAATGGAAGCCTGCGTTGACAGCAGGAAGCGGCTACGAGATGAATCCAATGATTCTCTCTTCAATTTTATCAGATCCAACTCTAAGTTCGTCCGACTTGATTCCGCTAACTTGGATGTGGATGATGCGCCGATTGCTTCCGTTTCATCGGATGCAAAATCGATCGATTCTTCAGGCCTTGATTCGTTTCAGGCAAACGTATCTCAGGATGACCTGCTGAAGATTCTCGACGACTCCGATGCTTACATAGATCGCGAGTCGGAAATTCAAGATCTCGACTCGGTGATTAGAAGCTTCGAGAAGGAAATTCAGGTGCCGGCGCCTTCTGTTCAGCCCGAACTTGGATTCCTTCTGGAAGCGTCGGACGACGAATTAGGGCTTCCGCCGGCCGGTGAGAAAGAGGAGACCGAGGCCGTTAACTTCGCGGCGGAGTTTTTAGGTAGCGACGGTATGAAAGGAATTTTAGGGCTTGAGGATGAAAGTGTTCCGAATTACTGTTGGCTTGAGAATTTGAGGAGTGAGAACGCATGGAGTCGAGAGGAGGAGGAAGAGGTGGTGGTGTTGGGTGGATTGTTCGATCATACAGACGTGGCGGCGGAATTGGCGTATCGATCGGAGACCATGTCTTGTTTATAATTATCAACCGAATTGTATTTTTTTTGAGACGAAGAAATTGAAAAAGCAGAAAAGAAGAAAACGGAATTTCTTTCAGAACAGAGAAACAAAAATAGTGAAGAGATGATTTGAATTCATCTATGTTTCACACTCCTAACAAAAAGAAAGAGCAAAATTTGGGTGCTAGCTCGATCTCCTCTTCAACTGTTCTTCAACTGTAGTATGCCGCAAGACGGAATCACATACCTCGACAGAGTGTTTTGATAAAACTCGATCGGTTTTGTTAATGCTTCGTTTTTATTACTAATTATTAGAACACAAGTTGGAATGACTAAATAGCTACCAAATGTTCCAAATGAGTTGAAATATTTCAAAGTATATCAGAAAATAATGTGCAAAGCATATCCCATATTCCCATTTTTCAAATATTTTCGGTGTTTGTCTTTGAATATTTGCCTTTTGTAAGAAAAACCAAATTGACTAGGTGAACTGAACCAAATCGAATTCGTCAAAATTTTCTTTAATAAAAAAAATTGAATCAGGTTGGTTCGGAAACTAAAAATGATGTATTTTCGATTTTTCTTATTTATAAGTTTTTAAATTTGGAGGAAATTATTTAAAAGGGGTAATAAAGTCTTTTGGCCTCCCAAATGTCCTAGAAGTATATAAATTAAAAATGATGTTATATTTTAAAAAATTTCCCCTCTATCTCCTTATCCGCACAATCCTCCTCTCCGTTTTTCTGGGTGTTCAGAGCTCTCTCTCCTCCACTCAAATGGCTCTGACCATAACCAATGGCGGCGCCACTTGTGGCACCGGCGGGGGAATTCTCTATAGAACCTCTACCAGGACTCCTTCTAACCAATTCCTTTTCCGTCGCAACGCGCTCTTTTCGCCGTCTAAAGAAGCCCGCACCCTCCATGTCGTTCATTCAAAGAAATCTTCCTTCAGAATTGGCCGAATCGACAGTAAGAACCGGAGGAGCTCGACGTCAACCAAGGAACAGGAAGAACAAGAAGAAGAAGAACGAAATCGGATGGCCGAAATTGCTGAAAATGCCGGTGTAGCGTTTGATGTGGATGAGAATTTGCCGGAATTGCCTGGGCTCCAGCCTGATTTCTGGGAGGGTCAGCAGTGGGATCCCCTCGGCTTCTTCCTCGAGTACTTGTGGGCCTTTGGCATCGCTTTCGCGGTTCGATTTTTCCCTACCTTTAATTTCGCCAATTATGTCCTATAATTATTTGATTGATTCTGTTGTCTGTTCTAACCCTAGATAGCATTCAGCAAAAGATTCAGATTAATAACTTAGTTCCAGAAATCTAGTTGCTTCTGTAATTGACAGATGAGATTTGAGATAAGCGAGGCCCAAACACTAAATTAACCAGCAACTCAGCTTTTTCTTCAACATAACAAGAACAGAATAGATCAGAGAATCATGATATATGTTTGATGAACACGACTCTCTACAATGATATGATATTGTCCATTTAGAACATAAACTCTCATGGTTTTGTTTAGGCTTCCCCAAAAGGCCTCACTCCAACATGGAGAGAGTATTATTTATTTATAAACTAGTCGACATAACCGTTTTCTTTTGAGTAGTTTTTCTAGAAAAGGATAAAATAGATAGCTCATGTTCTGTTATCCTTTCGCAAATGGATTCACTAATTCATTCATCATTACAATAGGTCATTGCATGTGGGATTGCTGTCACCACATACAACGAAGGAGCCACTGATTTCAAGGACACGCCTGCATACAAAGAATCAGTTCAAACTCAAGAGATATTAGAAGAACCCGAGGCATCAAACCCAGATGTCTTTGAATCTAATCCAACAGAGGTGGCTCCTAGTTTGGAATGATCTTGATAATTCGATATCAAAAACAGACCACACATCTTGAATCCATTATCATCCTCGTAAGCAGTTAAAGAAGTGAAAAGGAGACAAAGAATACTTTGTGAATTTGTAATGCCATAAGTTTTCTAGGTATGTTATGAAAACCTTATTCTATTATATCTAGTAAAGATTTTGATTCTGCATGTGTTAGTTTTCTTGTCAGCATCTTGTTTTTCTTTTGGGTCTTTCTGATTTACTTCATTCTGTCTATCTGCTATGGCCTTTTAATGTTGTTTCCTTAGATTTCTCTCCTCCTTGGGCTGACTGTATTAGGGAGACAAAGGAACAAGACATATCTGAAAACAGGGTATTGGTCTGCAAATGTTAAAAGCTAAAGAAACAACGTTATTGAACCAAAACAACCTACTGGAAATCTAATAAAGAAGAGCATATAATGTTGAAAGAGATTTTAGATAATTGGTTTCAATGAAGAACTACAAGAAACAGAAAAGTCTTCATAGCAATCGCTACTGTGAGCTGAATTCCCGCCCTTGGCTTGAAACTAGCACTGATGCTGCCCAATCCTAACCCCACCATGCTAGGTTTTGGCGTTGGTTGACCCACTGGAGTAGCTGAAATTCATAAAAGTAGTGTCAGATTGTATAACATGTCGTGCTTGTAGTAGAGCTGAACCAAAAACTATACCTAGAACCGTAGCATTGGTAATGGTGGAGTTGGTGTTTACTCTAGGAGAAACATGAGAGCTGGGAGGACTTGGTGGCTCAAGGAGAGCTTCAAATGACCATTCAGAGAATTATAAATGTTAGAACGAAGTAGAAGAATATACTTAAAGAGGCTTTAGGATGACAGGATTATAGTGATACCTGAACATGCAGAGATGTTAACTTGAAGGCTGCAAAGATCAGGCAGCTGGGTAGCTCTAGTAGTGTTGATAGGGAAAGAACTCAAGGTAGTGCCATTCAGCAAGAGGCAAAGGCAGCTGGGGACACTGGTGTAGAGTTGTTTCAGGTTTCCACAGCATGTCATTGGTGGTGTCGACGCCATACCTTGCACGAAAGGCGCACACGATGCCAATTGAAGAAGACTCGTGGTGCATTGAGCTATGGTAGGGCTCGAGGGGGTCGGATCTTGTGAAACGGCAATCGGTAGAGTAACGTGCAGGAGTAAGAGCAGGGTTAGGCATGGGAGATATGGAAGAGATGCCATGGTGCAGAGACAATACAGATTTTGACTCTATAGAAATAGAGGGATGGACACTGTTTAAGTGAGTTGAACCATGCAGCCTGTGTGCCATTCCACACACTCCTTGTTCTTCCCTCCCTCAATACTTGTGAGAGAGTGCCATATTATCAACGTGATATTAGATAAATATATATATATATATATATATATATATATTTATGAATTTATTAAATATAAAATATAATTAAAAAAGAAAATAGAGACACGTCATTTGACCACACACTTGCCATTATTTAATATTCAAGTACACTATTAAAAGATATAAATATTAAATAATATGATAAAACACTTTTTACTTCTAATAAATGAGGCAATTAGACATTTCATTTATTAGGCAAATATATTATAAACTTTTTTTTTTAAACTACCCATATTAGTAATTATTTTTTTAAAACTAGTTTATCTTTTTCTAGGTAAATATTAAATTGAGTCTTATAGCTCATCACTAAGTAAATTTTGATGATGATAATAATAATAAACTAGTTCAAAATAATAATGTTGAAATTTCTTAAAAATCATAATCTATTATAAAAAATTTGAAAATATTTAAATTTATATTTAATACATCCATTAATTTTAAAAAATTAAAAATTTCAAACTTATTAAATATAAAATTAAAAATTGATATTAGGATAGTTTCGAAATTGCAAAACTAAATTTATTATGACGGTTTAGAAATTTTAAAAAGTGAATTTTTTATTCAATTTTTTTGTCTATGTAGAAAATTTAAATTGTAACTTAATAGATAAATTAATTTAAAAAAATTTATAATATGTCAAGAAAATTATGGTAATACAAATTTGGGAAGGTGTAAAGTATTTTTTAAATTAAAAGAATAATTTGGAGCTGCTGAGCCCACAACTATAAATTCCAATTTTTTTTTTTTTTTTCTCTCCCCCTTTTTCTGGGAATCACCGCTTTCCACCTTTACTCCGCTATTTGAGTTCTCATTTCTGTGTCGTTTCAAAAGCTTTGATTAGCAATCATGGCCGCCAAATATGGTTCATTCAAGCAGAGTTTCGCCGAGAAGAGGGAGCGACTTCTTTCGGCCAAGGAATTCCCTGACCTAATCTATGGAACTCTCCAGGACAATCCTTCCTTTTGCTCCTCCTTTCGCTCCGTTCCGTATAGAATCTCTAATCTATGGAACTCCGTTCAGGATGTTCTTTGCAAATCTTGGCAGATGGGCGTGTCCGACCCGAGGAAGATTGTTTTCTCTGCCAAGATGGCTCTTGCTCTCACGCTTATTTCTTTGTTGATCTTCTTCAAGCAGCCCGTTGAGGAGCTCAGCCGCTACTCCGTCTGGGCCATTCTTACTGTCGTCGTCGTCTTTGAATTTAGCATTGGTACTCTGAATTTTCTTTGAATGATTTATGTCGTTGGCGTTCTTTGTTTAGTTTAAATTAATTGATTTATTCCCTCTTGTTCTATCTCATGCTCTGAATTTGATTCTGTTTTGAGTACTCTAAACGTAGTTCTTTGCGCTCTTCGGCCACAATCTGTTTGCTTATTGGAACAAAATGACGATTCTGTCTGCAGGAGCAACGCTAAGCAAAGGATTGAACCGTGGATTGGGCACGCTTTCAGCTGCAGGCCTTGCATTGGGAATGGCTGGATTATCAGTTCTTGCTGGAGAGTGGGAAGAGCTTGTGGTTGCTATCAGTATCTTCATCACAGGTCTGTTTTTCTAATAATTGATATCATGATTGTTGGGAGAGAAGTTTTACTTCCACTAGATCATGGGTTTTGTAATGTAATGGCCACAACCACTGCTAGGGAAGGTCGTTAGGGAAAGGTTTCCACATCCTTATTAAGGGTGTTTTGTTTCCTCTCTAACTAATGTGGGATCGTGGGATCTCACAATCGACCTCCCATCAAGGCCTAGCGTACTCACTAGCACTTGTTCCTTTCTCCAATCGATGTGGGACCTCCACCAAATCCACCCTTTCGGGGCCCAACATCCTTACACTGGCACACTGCCTCGTGTCTACTCCCTTTGGGGGAACAACCTCCTCGCTAGCACATTGCCCGGTGTTGTGGGACCCTACCTCCCTTCGGGGCCTAGCATCCTTACTGGCACATTGCCTCATGTCTACTCCCCTTCGGGGGAACAACCTCCTCGTTGACACATCGCCCGGTGTCTGGCTCTGTTATCATTTGTAACGGCTCAAACCCACTCCTAGCAGATATTGTCCTTTTTGAGCTTTACCTTTCAGGCTTCCCTCAAGATTTTTAAAAAGCTCTACTAGGGAAGATTTCCACACCTTTATAAAAGGTGTTTCGTTCTCCTCCCCAACTAATGTGGAATTTCACAGGTTTATAAGTAAGGAATACATCTCCATTGGTACGAGGACTTTTGGAAAAACCAAAAGTAAATCTATGAGAGCTTGTGCTGAAAGTAGACAATATGATGAATATAGTTTATGCTTCAATCTCTCATTTGGTGGCTTTATGATGTTTGCAGGATTCTTTGCTACTTATGCTAAGCTATATCCCACAATGAAGCCTTATGAATATGGATTTCGGGTCTTCTTGTTAACGTATTGTTTCATAATGGTGTCGGGATATAGGACTAGAGATTTTATCCATACAGCCATCACAAGATTCTTGCTCATTGCGCTTGGCGCTGGAGTGTGTTTGGTTGTAAACATATGCATTTACCCCATTTGGGCTGGCGAGGATCTACACAATCTTGTAGTGAAAAACTTTGCAGGCGTTGCAGCATCCTTAGAAGGTTGGTTAGCTGCTTGCATTACTTAAATTTACTTACGATATCAAATCTCTTGCGAATGTTTCTGCTTAGCTACTTTCCCTTCATTTAGGATGTGTTGATAGCTACCTTAATTGTGTCGAGTACGAGCGAATACCTTCGAAAATCCTTACCTACCAAGCCTCTGATGATCCTTTGTACAAAGGCTACAGGTCAGCTATGGAATCTATGAGTCAAGAGGAGTCTCTGGTGAGTTTCATGGACATTATGCTGGTTTTTTTTATTTCACCTTCAAGAAAAATAAGAACAAACACAAATACAGATGGGATTTGCAATCTGGGAACCGCCACACGGTCGGTACAAAATGCTTAAATATCCATGGAAAAGCTATGTTGAAGTAGCTGGTGCATTGAGGCATTGTGCTTTTGCTATCATGGGATTGCATGGATCTATACTATCAGAAATACAGGTACTTTGGCTTTGATGCTCGAACTTCACATTCACATTGAGTCATTGTCAATATCTATTCATAAACGTACTAAATGATCTGAATCTTTGCTAATCTGTTCATTTGGGAAGTTATCAAATTTGTAATTGAAAAGTTCTGTTTTTCAGAAGTTTCATTTGTTTTGTATTAACAATAGCTGTGTACTATAGTTTTATTTTCCCCTCCATTGGTATTGGATGTGCAGGCTCCAGCGGAAAGACGACACGTATTCAGAAACGAGCTCCGGAGGGTAAGCTACGAAGGCGCTAAAGTCTTGCACGAGCTTGGAAACAAGTTAAAGAAGATGGAGACATTAGATTGCGCAGCCATACTCTCTGAAGTACATGATGCTGCAGAAGAGCTGCAAAAGAAGATCGATGCAAAATCCTATCTTCTTGTGAACTCAGAGAGCTGGGAAATTGGGAATCATCATGACGACAACGTAGGACGGTCCCAAGAATTGCTGAACATGGACGATGAGGAAACAAGGTTTCATGAATACAGGTCCCTCAGTGAAGCTGTGCTTGATCTAAGGGCCTTCCCAGTCCCTAAAACTTGGAATGACCCTAGGCCATCAGACATCAACTCTGTACAAGCTGCTGCATTTCCCCCCACGAACAAAATGTTCAAGAAACTGGGGTCATGGCCAGCACAGGTTTCAAACAAACCAAATGGAGTAATCCACGCAGAAGAATCGAAAACATACGAAAATGCGAGCGCATTGTCGTTAGCTACATTTACTTCCCTGTTAATTGAATTTGTTGCAAGGCTGCAAAACGTTGTCGACTCTTTTGAAGAGCTAAGTAAGAAAGCTAAGTTTAAGGACCCTATGGAACGGGAAACATCGAAAGCGCCTGAGTGTTAGATAGTAGTGTTAGTCGGCCAAAGATGTTGAGAGGATGAATCCTGATGAGTTAGCTACATACTGCTATCAGTATGTTATAGACTGTATAAAGTTAAAAATATGAATACAAACAGTAATGGGGGAGTGTAATCAAATCTTCCCTTCTAACTTAAGCNTATGATGTTGATTCCTTGAATGAAATCTTCCTATTTCTCTCAAGCTATGCCTTCTTTTGGGCTCATGTCTTCTCCACTGCATGATGCCCAAGAATAGAACAAATTATAGTAGCAGAAAGTCTTAAAAAATTTAAAATATATAATATATATGTTAAAATTATCAGTTAGTCGTTGGAGTATAGTGGTAAGTATTCCCGCCTGTTATGCGGGTGACCCGCGTTCGATCCCCCGCAATGGCGTATTTTTTTAAGAGTTCCTTCCTCTTTTTTAATTATTATTATAAATAGATTTACATTTTATTTTCTGTTAAAATTAGTAAACAGGTCGTTGTAGTATAGTGGTGAGTATTCCCGCCTGTCACGCGGGTGACCCGGGTTCGATCCCCGGCAACGGCGCATGTTTTGTTCCAATACTATTTGAAAATAAGATTGAATTAATTCTGTTAATATTACCAAAGAAGTCGTTGTAGTATAGTGGTGAGTATTCCCGCCTGTCACGCGGGTGACCCGGGTTCGATCCCCGGCAACGGCGCATGTTTTGTTTTTTTTGTTTTTAATTAATATTGTAATTAGCGTTTAATTGTAAAGTGGGATTTATGTGCTGAAAGTTTAGTTTTAAAAGCATTTTCATTTTTCTTCCTCGTCGTGTATTATTATTTAGGAGTTGCCGATTGCAGGCAGATAGTGATCATTTGTTGGTTGAGGTTTAAATCTCGTCGTTGTTCTATCTTTCTCGGCGTCGGAAGTC